CCTCTATGCATGTGCATCCCTGGTGTTTCCTTGTGTGTCCAAATTTCCTGTTCTTATAAGAATACTAGTCAGATTGGTGTGGGGCCCACCCTAATGGCTTATTTTCACTTAGTCACCTCTTTAAAGGCTCTGAATCCAAATACAGTCACTTCTGAGGTTTGAGCTTGAAAGTATGACTTTCTGGGGACCACAATTCAGCCCACAACAGTAAGTGACAGAATAAGAACATAAATGTAGGTATTTAATTGAAGGCCTCTTATGTATGTGTTGTGTGTGTGTGTGTGTGTGTGTGTGTGTGTGTGTGTGTGTGGTGTGTGTGTGTGTGTGAATGTGTATATGTATGTTAACGTGAGTCCATCACAGTCTCTCTATGAAAGAAAACATCTTATATTCTTCATGAAGAATAGCTAACTGTGAATGAAAACAAGGTAATATGAGGCAGAGTATCCTAGCTTTGAGAATGTTAAGTATGAGAATGCAATGTAAAATAGCAAGGGATTCTAGGAAGATAGTGCCAATGTTATTGTAGTTTTAGAATCTCCTGAAATTTCCCCATAAGTACAGGTAGAACAACTATAATAGCAAAGCCAAAACCTGACACACAACATCTATAACAAAACTAAGTGATAAGCTATCCACATAAACTACCAAAATAGGAGCAGGCAGGTTCAAACTACTGACAGTTACAAGACCCACATATTACTAGCATCTGTATGAGGGGAAACAGTGGGAGGGGGAAGGCAACCAGAGGTCTGATGGGTTTGTGAAATTAAGAACCTCAAAACTGAAAGAAGTACTTATTGAAAAGTGCAGCAAGTCAACGTGAGCACAGCAGCCAAACTACGAGGGGGGTTACAACAAAACCTGAAGGTATTAGAGCAGTCTGGGCCCTATGAACACTTAAAACTAACCAACAAAAAACTCCCTTATCAGGACAAAAGCTTACACTGATGAGAAATTGCTGGAAGTATAATCCAAATCAAAGAAGAAAGGATCAATACAGATAAAGGAAAGAGAAGGTACAAATAAAAGTGGGGATACAACACCAAAAGCACCATCCATGAAAAAAAGATGGGTAAGTTGGACTTCATTACAATTAAAAGTACCTGCTCTGCAGAAGACATTGGTAAGAGAATGAGAAGATAAGCCACAGACTGGGAGAAAATATTTGCAAAAGACATATCTAATAAAGAAATGATATCCAAAATACACAAAGAACTCTTAAGCTCCCCAATAAGAAAATGAACAACTGAATTAAAAGATTGGCGAAAGATCTGAGTAGACATCTCACCAAATAAGATATACAAATGACAAATAGGCATATTAAAAAATGCTCTACATGACATGTCATCAGGGATATACAAATGAAAACAACCACGTATGTCCATGAAAATACATAGGGGAAACTTAAATGTATATCACTAAGCGAAAGAAGCCAATCTGAAAAGGCAACATATCATGATTACAATAATATAGCAATCTGGACAAGGCAAAACTATGGATACAGTAAAAAGATCTCCAGTTGCCAGGGGTGGTGGGATGGATGAATGGTGAAACATAGGAGATTTTTAGGCCAGTGAAACGATTCTGTATGATACTATGATGGTGAATACATGTCATTATACATTTGTCAAAACCTACAGAATACACAGTACAGAGATCAAACCCTAATGTAAACTGTGGATTTTGGTCACCAGTGATAGGTAAATGCCGGTTCACACACTGTAACAAATGTGCCACACTGTTTTGGGATATTGATGGTATGTGAGGTTGTGTGGAACAGGGGAGGAAATATGTGAAAAGAAAAATGCTAAGAAATTTCAGAAAACAAGTTCGTATTTTTGATACTTTGAGAAAATAATAGAATAAGGGGCTCTGGGTATACGATTTAGACAAAAAGGCTAAAGAAAATCTATTCTGCAGATTCCAGTTCTGGACAAGTTGAAATAGACTCAATTCTCTATATTCTTCCCACTAAGTACACCAAAAATTTCTGGGTATTATATTTCAAACAAACATAAGAATATTCTAAAAGATGAAGAGAAAATAAGCCAGATAAGGACCTTGGGACCTGAAGAATGATATGACAGGGAGCTGCCTGAGTGTTCTTTTTGCCTCATTATCTCCTAGATTGGGTGCTAAAGAAGCCAGCAACTCAGAGACACCAATGGGTGCAAAGGAACAAAAAGTCCATATGAAGCCTGCTTTCTCAAGTCAAAGGACCAGCATAGGGAAAGCCTAGCAAGACAGAAAACTTTTAAGCAATAGCTGGGAAAACAGCTAAATACCATGGAAAAATCTGCAATCCCAACTCTATCCCCATCAACAAAGGTCAAGTGGTGAGCCTACACTTCAATACACCCAGCAGTAATAAAGCCCCATGTCCTTCCCACTCAGGTGGTGGCAGAAGAGGCCTACTGGGAAGCTGGAATTGTTATCACCTTCCAGCATTAACATGGTTCTCCCCCCATGGTATCAGTGGAGGTGAGTAACAAGATACTCTACCTCTCTCAGCCAAGTTGGTGACTCGGCTCAACTCTCATCCCTGCCTACCAGTAATGAAACACCCTTCCCTTCCAAGAGACTAAGTGAAAGCTGAGTAGAAAACCTAGGCTTCCAACTGCCATCTGGCAGTAACAAAGAGGTTCCCTTATATCCCTTCAGTGCAGTAGTAGGAGCAGCCTGCTAAAACAGATTTAAATAAAATCCAAAATGAAAATAAATAGAAGATAGAGAGAACCAAATGTACATTTTACAGTAGAAAATACAATAACCAAAACAAAAAAATCAATGGATACTCTCAATAGCAGAATGAATATGAAAGAGGCAAGAATCAGTGAACTTAAAGTAGAAATGATCCAATCTGAACAACAGAGAGAAAACAAACTGAAAAAAATCTCTTAAAGAACAGAACTCATGTCATATAAAATGAAAGAGACACAGCAAGAGTCCCTCCAAAGCAGCTCCTGCCCCAATACAGCCTGCAAGCAACTCCAAGGGGAACTGGTACCACTCCAAAATGACTTCTGCCCCAGGGAGAGGGGAAGATAACCACACATATCAGTGCCCCCACAGTCCCAGTGGCCAAACTTTATAGCTGGCAGCACAGAGAGGGTGCCCTGTTGATCAGTCCAACTGTCGACCCAGCAGGCAGACTGGGGACAGACATCTGGGGACAGACACCACCCAACCACAAGCCCATGACAACCTAGACTGACCCCTTAATGGCACAAGGACCAAACGTTGCCTAGTGCACCCACAAGCAAAGTGGGCCACTGTAGCCAACTGGACTAAGGCAAATGCAACTCAGCCACATTAGTAGGGTGCAAGCAAATCACACAGGACACACCTCTGTTTCTGGTGAACAGGGAGCCTTGCATTATACGCCACAACAGGACCTCCTCTTCATAAGGCCACCACTTTCAAGATCGGGAAACATAGCTGACTTCATTAATACATAGAGACAAACACAGAGAGTTAGACAAAATGAGGAAACAGAGGAATATGTCACAAATGAAAGAACAGTACAAAACCACAGCAATACAGCTAAATGGAACAGAGATAAGTAATATGCATGATAAAGAATTCAGTAATGGTCATAAAAATACTCACTGGACTTGAGAAAAGAGTGAAGGATCTCAGTGAGACCTTCAAGAAAGAGCTAGAAAATATAAAACAGAACAAGTCAGAGATGAAGAACTCAGTAACTGAAATTAAAGAAAAAAAACACACACACTAGAGGGAATCAGTAGCATATTAGATGAGGCAGAAGAACAGATAACATCTGGAGGACAGGGTAATAGGAAGCAAACAAACTGAATAACAAAAAGAAAAAAGAATAATAAAAAATGATAACAGGTTAAGGGAACTCAGTAACATCATCAAGCATAATAAAATTTGCATTAAGGAGTCCCAGAAGGAGAAGACAGAGAAAAGGGGCAGAAATTTTATCTCAAGAAATAACAGCTGAAAACTTCCTTAATCTGGGGAAGGAAACAGACACCCAGATCCAGCAAGCATAGAGAATGCTCAAAAAAATCAACTCAAGGATGTCCACACCAAGACACATAATAATTAAAATGGCAAAAGATAGCAATAAAGAGAATTTTAAAAACAGCAAGAGAAAAAACAATTACATACAAGGGAAGAAGCCCCATGAAGCTATCAGCTGATGTTTCAGCAGAAACTTTGCAGGCCAGAAGGGAGTGGTCATGATACATTCAAAGTGCTGAAAGAAAAAAAACAAACAACAAAAAACAAAAAAACAAAAAAAGCCCCAAAACTTGCAACCAAGAATACTCCAGCAAGGCTATCATTCAGAATAGAAGGAGCGATAAACAGTTCCCCAGACAAACGACAGTACATATTGCACACTTGGGAAAATCAGTCTAGTGTGGGAAACGCTGAGCTATACAATAGTAAATCTATAGAATCTAAAAGAAAAAAAATATTTTGGGCATCTAGTCAACAATTATAGAATATACATTCTTTTCAAGACAGACTATGCTGGGCCATAAAATAAGATTCAAAGAAACTGAGTACAATATATTTAAACTAGAGCTCAATATCAATAAGATATTTAAAAATCCCCAAATATTACATAACTTAAAGATACACTTCTAACAGCTCATTTGAAAGAAGATAATCACACAGAAAATTAGTAAATATTTGAAACTAAAGGTAATAAAATACAATATATCAAAATTTGTGGGGTAATAGCTAAAGCTGTGCTTAAAGATAAATTTATAGCTTTGGTTGCCTATTTCAAGAGGAAAAAGGATTTAAACCAGTTACCTAAAGTTTCTAATTTAAAAAATTAGAAAAAGAAGAATCAGACCCTAAAGTATCAGGAAAATAATAGTGATGAGATCAGGAAACAATAAATAAGAAATCAGACAAATAGTAGAAAAAAGTTGATTGTTTGAAAAGTTTAAAAAATTCATAAACTTAGCAAGACTGTAACTCAATGGTTTATTATAAAACAACAACAAAAACTTTACCTTGGCCAACTCTGTAATTTTACCAAAACCAGACTTCCAAGAGGGAGTTGTGAATAGACAATCTTAAATCCACTTTGATGAAGCTGAGACTCTTCAGGAAAGTCTTCTTCAGCAACAGAGCACTTATTGTATCTTGAATCAGTGTTCATGAAGCAGTACCATGGTTTATTGTGATCAACTCTGGCTGCATCCTCACTTGACAACAATCTCCACTTCAAACAGCTTTCATACTCACACTGAACCCACAATTTGTTTACGTACATACTGTTTTCCGCTGAGGAATCCATTGCAGCATTACAGTATTCTATTACCATCCAATTTTTCTTTTTCCATAAATGCATTTAATCTGGAAAACCAGAAGAAAAGAATAAATATTCAAGAATATGAGGAAAGAAAGTTCAAACTAAAATCAGAGAAACAGCTCTATTATACCTTCTTTGTCTACATCTTCTCTATCCCATAAAGACTATACATTTTGAACAATGTATGTTTCCACCTACCCAGAAAGAAAGGAACAAAATAGAAGCATCAATTGCTCTGGGCATAAAATGCTTCAAACTTAAAAATAATTTTTTAAGTAACAAATAAAAATAAAAATAAGTATGACCATTTTTACAGAGAAAACTGAAGCTAAGAAAAGTAATTTGTTTGAGGTCCCAGAGCTAGGATATGGTAGAGCTGGGATTTAAAATTTTTTTTTTTTCAACGTTTATTTATTTTTGGGACAGAGAGAGACAGAGCATGAAGGGGGGAGGGGCAGAGAGAGAGGGAGTCACAGAATCGGAACCAGGCTCCAGGCTCTGAGCCATCAGCCCAGAGCCTGACGCGGGGCTCGAACTCACGGACCGCGAGATCGTGACCTGGCTGAAGTCCGACGCTTAACTGACTGCGCCACCCAGGCGCCCCATGTAGAGTTGGGATTTAAATGCAGGCAATTTGGCTCCAAATTCTGTGGTCTTAACTACTTAAGCTGTACTGCCTCTTGGGATGTATATATATATGTATATGAAATTATGTGACAACCCTTTTCTAGTTCTGACGAAAATCAAGTGTAACAAAATATTTCACCATATCAAAGTTTTAAATCTCCTTTTAAAACTAAAGGAATCTTTTGCTTATACAGTTTTGCCTTTTATCCATTAATTCAAGTGGTTTGAAAAAAACATTTCTCCGAGTATTTTATTATAAAAATTTTTAACATACAAAACATTAGAATTATATGATTAAGCCTCCAACTTCTAGGCTCAATAAGTATGTGTGTACTAAAAATAATATAACTAAAATAAAGTAAAAATATTAGCAACTTATTTTGCAATAAAAACCTACTTTAAAGAATGATGTCAATATACCATATTCATGAGTTAGTAAAATACCATTCTCCAAGTATAAGCACCATTTAAACAAGCTCTTAATTCATGAGTTAATCGTATGTTTAGAAACTCAATTACTTATCGTATTACAGGGTCACCACAAATTGCTTTAGAAATTTGCCAACATATGCCAATAGCCATGGCTCACATTTTGTTTTTACCTGTTAATACTGCTCGTGTGAATGTATCCACAGAAAATAAACTTACAAGAGACTATTCTACATATACGAAGACCCAAGAATATTTAGTGTGGCACTATTTATCATACTGGAAGAGTGGAAAAATCTGAAAACATGAAGACCAAATCTTCTGGAAGATAAATATAAAATTTTGCTAATAATATTAATTAGAATCATTATTTTTTTAATTTTTTTAATGTTTACTTATTTTTGAGGGAGAGAGAGAGAGAAAGAGAGAGAGCATGAGCAGCGTTGGAGCAGAGAAGGAGACACAGAATCCCAAGCAGGCTCCAGACTCCTAGCTGTCAGCACAGAGCCTGGCTTGGGTCTCAAACTCACCAACAGTGAGATCATGACCTGAGCCTAAGTCGGACACTTAACCAACTGAGCCATCAAGGCACTCCGTTAATAATATTAATTTAAGATTTCTGGTTATCTCACTGGTGAGGAAGTTTACAAGAAGCAAGACTGCAATTTAGATTGCAGTTGAAATGGCTAGTCTTCCCTATTCTCTGGGCCACTAGATGGTACAGCAGAAGTTGCTGAGTTCAGACTTCAGAGGCAAATTATATGTGAACTCCTGGTTCGGCTACTCACCAGTTGTCCTTGGGCAAGACATTATTTTGCATTTCACATCACATTATGTGTATTTTCCTCCTGTGTGTGTGTGTGTGTGTGTGTGTGTGTGTGTGTGTGAGAGAGAGAGAGAGAGAGAGAGAGAGAGAGAGAGAGAGAGTTTTGTTTATGTATTTTCAATCATTGTATCATCTTTGACTATACTGAGACAGGCATAATATTGAATAGAAGCCATGATGGTAGAAACGTTTTTCTAATTTCAAAGAGAATGGTTCTATTTGACTATAAAATCAAATATGTATATATATATGTATTTGTAGAGAACATTAAAAGATTACAAAAAAATTTTTTTCCTTTAATTACCAGTTTACTATAAGGATTTTTTTTTTGCTAGTCATGAAGTACTGTTGAATTTTATCAACTGCTTTTCTGTATATATTTAGGTAAACAAAGACTTTGTTAAGCCTGTTAATTGGGTATGTTGTAATAATGAATTTATTAATGATAAACATACTTGCATTCCAGGTAAACCCTACATTGTCAAGCGTTAGGAGAATTTTTCTTTAACATATATATTGCTGTATGAAGTTTATTAACAGTTATTTAAGATTTTATATAATTTTATATATAAGATTTTATTTAAGATTTATATATATAAACATATGCATATATTTATAGATGAGATTGGTCTAATAATTTCAATTCTCTTCTTTTTTGTCTTTGTCTGGTTTTGATATCAAGATGAAAATAGTCTCATAAAATGAAGTGCAGAATGTCTCCCCTTTTGGCAAAGTTTGCCCAAGGGAGGAATTCCCAATTCTGCCATACATCTAAGAATTCTGGTGTATCTACTATGTCTCTCATTATGTTTCTTTCACTCTGAAACTTGTTTATATCTTCTTTTTACTTCATTCATCTTGTCCATACTTTTTTTTTTTTTAATTTTTTTTTCAACGTTTATTTATTTTTGGGACAGAGAGAGACAGAGCATGAACGGGGGAGGGGCAGAGAGAGAGGGAGACACAGAATCGGAAACAGGCTCCAGGCTCTGAGCCATCAGCCCAGAACCCGACGCGGGGCTCGAACTCACGGACCGCGAGATCGTGACCTGGCTAAAGTCGGACGCTTAACCGACTGTGCCACCCAGGCGCCCCTTGTCCATACTTTTTAAACAACCAGAGTTTGAGTCTCCCCATTTCTTCTTTTCAAGTTTTTATTTAAATTTTAATTAAGATATAGTGTAATAATGGTTTTAGGAGAATTTAGTGAATCATCACTTATATATAACACCCAGTGCTCATCACAATATGTGCCCTCCTTAATACTCATCACCCATTTAGCCCATTCCCAACTCCCCTCCCCTCCAGCAACTCTGTTTGTTCTCTATACTTAAGAGTCTCTTATGGTTTGCCTCCCACTCTCTTTTTTTTCTCCCTTCCCCTATGTTTATCTGTTTTGTTTCTTAAATTCTGCATAGTGAAATCATACGGTATTTGTCTTTCTCTGACTTAGTTCGCCTAGCATAATAAACTCTAGCTGTTTATGAAATCTACATTGTTGCAAATGGCAAACATCCATTCTTTTCTATGGCTGAATAAGATTCCATTGTATATATACTACTTCCATTGTATATATGTATACTTCCATTGGACACTTGAACTTTTCCCATAGTTTGGCTATTGAAGATAATGCTGCTATAAACATGGGGGTGCATGTGCACTTTCAAATCTTATTTTTGTATCTTTTGGGTAAATACCTGGTAGTGCAATTTCTGGGTTGTAGGGTAGTTCTATTTTTAACTTTTTGAGGAAGATCTACACTGTTTTTCAGGGTGGCTGCACCAGTTTGCTTTCCCACTAGCAGAGTAAGGGGGTTCCCCATTCTCTGTATCCTCACAAACCTCTGTTGCCTCCTGTGTTGCTAATTTAGGCATTCCAACAGGTGTGAGGTGGTACTTCATTATGGTTTTTTTTTAATTTTTTTTAACGTTTATTCATTTTGTGAGAAAAAGAGAGTGTGAGTGGGGGGGGAGGGGCAGAGAGAGAGAGAGAGAGAGAGACACACACAGAATCCGAAGCAGGCTACAGGCTCTGGGCTGTCAGCACAGAGCCCAATGTGGGGCTCAAGCCCATGGACTGTGAGATCATGACCTGAGCCAAAGTCTGATGCCCAACAGACTGAGCCACCCAGGCGCCCCCCTCATCGTGGTTTTGATCTGTATTTCCCTGATGATGAGTGATGTTGAGAAACCTTTTGTGTCTGTTATCCTTCTGGATGCCTTCTTTGGAAAAATGTCTGTTCATGTCTTGCCCATTTCTTAACTGCATTATTTTTTGGGTGTTGAGTTTGATAAGTTCTTTATAGATTTTGGATACTAACCCTTTATCCAATATGCCATTTGCAAATATCTTCTCCCATTCTGTAGGGTGCCTTTTAGTTTTATTGTTTCCTTCCCTGTCCAGAAGCTTTTTATTTTTATGAAGTCCCAAGAGTTCAGTTTTAGTTTTGTTTTCCTTGCCTCCAGCAATGTGTCTACTAAGAAGTTGTTCTAGCAAGGTCAAAGAGGTTGCTGCCTGTGTTCTCCTCTAGGATTTTGATGGTTTCCTGGCTCACATTTAGGTCTTTCATCCATTTTAAATTTACTTTTGTGTATGGTGTAAGAAAGTGGTCTAGTTTCACTCTTCTGCATGTTGTTGTCCAGTTTTCCCAATGCCACTTGTTGAAGAGACTCTTTTTTGAATTGGATATTCTTTCCTGCATTGTCAAAGATTAGTTGACCATATAGTTGTGGATCCATTTCTGGGTTTTCTATCCTGTTCCATTGATCTATGTGTTTGTTTTTGTGCCAGTACCATACTGTCTTGGTGACTACAGTTTTGTAATATAGCTTGAAGTCCGGAATTGTGATGCCTCCAGCTTTGCTTTTCTTTCTCAAGATGGCTTTGGCTATTTGGAGTCTTTTGTGGTTCCATACAAATTTTAAGATTGTTTGTTCTAGCTTGGTGAAAAATGCTGGTGGTATTTTGATAGGGATTGTATTAAATGTATAGATTGTATTAAATATGTATATTTGAGTAGTGTAGACATTTTAGCAATATTTGTTCTTCCAACCTATGAGCATGGAATATTTTTCCATTTCTTTGTGTCCTCTTTGATTTCGTTTATAAGTGTTCTATAGTTCTCATATTACATATTTTTTACTTCTTTGGTTAGGTT